GATGGTGAGGGTTAATTCATTAGTGTTTCTTGATTGCTAGTTATGATTCAGGCCCCAAGACTATAAAGATGAATGCAGCAGACCTCAAATATCCTAAATGGCTCAGATGGGAAGCATGTATAAGTTTGTGAGAGGTGCCATGACAAAGTAGTACAGACTGGGTGATTTAAACCACAGAAATGTAGAGTCTCATAGTTCTGGATCAAGGTATCAGCAAGGTTGCTTTCTTCTGAAGCCCCTCTGCCTGGCTTATTGATGGCTGTCTTCTTCCTACATCTTCACATAATTTTCCTTACTTCCTTCTTTTTCTTTAAAAAAAAAAAATATTTATTTGGTTGAGCCAGGTCTTAGTGGCAGCATGCAGGATCTTTAGTTGCAGCGTTTGAACTCTTGATTCCACGCTCTCAATGTAGGGCGCCTGTCTTCAATCCTTGGTTGGGAAACAAGATCCCATATACCTCAACTAAGAGTTCCTGTGCTGCAACTAACACTCCCTTTTCTTCTTACATGGACACCTATTTGATTAGGGCGCCCCCATATGACCTCATTTTACCTTGTTTAGTAGCTAAGTTGTGTTCGCTTCTTTTGCAACCCCATTGACTGCAGCCTGCCAGGCTCCTCTGTCCATGGGATTTCTCAGGCAAGAATACTGGAGTGGGTTGCCATTTCCTCCTCCAGCGGATCTTCCTGACTCAGGGATCTAACTGTGTCTCCTGCATTGGCAGGCGGATTCTATATTGCTGAGCAACCAGGGAAGCTCTCGTTTTACCTTAATTACCTTTTTAAAGGCCCTATCTCCAAATACAGTCACACTGTGAGGTGCTGGGGGTTATGACTTCAACATATGAATTTGGGAGTGACACAATTCAGCCCAAGACAAGGAGGCAGCATGGGCCCAGACGACCACATCTTCACCTTATAGGGCTGGATGATGAGGTACTGGGTACTGACAATGCTAAGAAGAGGGGAGAGACCAACATGGCCTTGCAGGACAGCGAGAGCCTCCACAGAATAAAGTCAACTTGTCTTCCCTCTTGTGCCAGGAGGAGAGAGAGGAAATAGCATTTCAGGACTGGGGAGAAGCAGGTGTCAAAGCCCCTGGGTGAATAACTTCATTTCCTAGGTATTCTATTTACATTGTGCTCTAATCTCTAATGCAGGAGTTTCCATTCCTGGGCTGCAGATGGAGACTTTGAGCATATATTAAACCGTTCATTGTCAGTCATGTAAAAGGGATTCCCCTTTAAAAGCTCACCTGCACTAGAGCAGCTGTTATTCTTGGGTAACATTTATTAAGCAAGCACTATACAGCAAGCAGGATCCTAAGCTTTTCACATGAACTCTTTTAACTCATTTAGTATTCACAAACAACACTTTGCAGTATGTTACTGCTCCCCTTTGTTGAGATGAGGAAACTGGGGCATAGAGAGGTTAAGGAACTTCATTAAGGTCACACAACCAGTAATTCGGGTGAAAGTGAAAAGTGAAAGTGTTAGTCGCTCAGTCCTGTCTGACTCTTTTCCACCCCATGGACTATAGCTCACCAGGCTCCTCTGTCCACGGAATTCTCCAGGCAATAATACTGGAGTGGGTAGCCATTCCCTTCTCCAGGGATCGAACATTGCAGGCAGATTCTTTTACCATCTGAGCCACCAGGGAAGCCCTAACTTAGCTGAATACAGCCAGTAGTCTCTCTCATCCTGCAAAAGCCATGTTGGTCTCTCCTCTTTTCTCAGTGCTGTCAGTACCTGATGCCTCGTCATCCAGCCCTCTTACCTATTAAACAAGTATCTCCTGAGTACCCATGCTGTGTCAGGCCTTGGAAGGAGTGAGACAATTACATGCATTTGATCTGAGCCTTGAGGGAGGAGTAGGCTCCCTAGGCTGGGGAAGGGAACTGTAGGAAAAGGGAACAGCATGAGGAAGATTTCTGGGCTTCAGGAGCTGCATGTAGCTCAGGGTGGCTGGACCATGTTGGAGAGAGGTGGCAGTGGGCTGGGAGCAACCAGCAGGTGTTGGAGGGGGTCCATGGGTCTGGTCACAGCCTCTGGACTTGATCTAGGGACTCCAGGGATCCAGGCAAGAATTTCAAGCTGGAAAGTGACTGGTTGGCATTTTTTTTTTCACAATTGCTTCCACTGGGAGGAAGAAGAAGCATGTCCAAAACTCTTGGACCAAAATATGATCCTTGGCAAGTTAATATGCCAACACCATGTGTCTAGCCCTAGGACATATTCCAGTTCCATTACTGAGGAATCTAAACTATGGGGCCTGAGGAGGATCACTCATACCTCCAGTCAAAGTTAACACTCACTACATTAGCCCTGAGATTAGCTGGTCAGTCTCAGTATAGACCACATGCTAATTGCAACTCTGATATAAAACAGGTCTGGTTGTTCTGGTTTCAGCATTTTTGAGCCTCACTTTATGCTATACTACTATAGGCAGATGCTGCATTTAGGTGGAAGTTCTACTGGGGAGAGGGCTGCTCATTTAACAGGCATTTCAAGAGGAATGGCAGTCATCAGGAGTACAACCATTACAGAAGTAGGATTTGGCCTCTTAAGGCCTCTGGAGTCCTTTGGAAGAAGGCATTAGTTACGTGGATGACCGTCTACTGGCTGGGAAGATGCGACGGCTCTGGTGATGTGAGTGGGGAGGGCAGGGATAAGTAGTGCCCCAAACATTCCTTCTTGGACCACAAGAAAAGCTTCTTGGACATTTGCCTTAAAAAATAATAATAATAATAATAATTTAAAAATTTACTTATTTGGCTGCACCAGGTCTTTGTTGCAGCATGTAGGATCTAGTTCCCTGACCAGGGGTTGAACCTGGACCACCCCTGCATTGAGAATGCAGAGTCTTAGCCAGTGGACCACCAGGGAAGTCCTGACATTTGCCTTCTGAATTGTGTTTTGCTTTATGTGGATAGTGGTTTCTGGATCCCTGGACGAGCGTGAGGGGAAGTGTTCGGCAATGAAAATTTAGCATGTTTCTAGATGCACCATGAGTAACCAGCCCTCTGGGTTTTCTGCATCCCCACACTCTCCACCAGACATCCATGACGTTACAATGGCACTTGTACGAGATGGCACGCAGCCTGAATGTGCAGGAGATGCTGCGGGAGGAGGTTCTGAATGCCCGACGCCAGGCAGAGGGAGACATAAGCAAGATGCTGCAAATGGTCCCACTCCTCAAAGCTAGCATCAAGGAGACGCTGAGGCAAGCCCACTCCCACCTATGCCTGCCCCACCCACCCCACCCCCTCAAATCCCTGGGCAGGGACAGGGTGCTGCCTGAGCACAGGTTTACAAGGATGGGCCGGTGGAGAAGATGGGTAGCAGGAAGTGAGGAGTCTGGGGAAGACAGCTGGGAATGGGGAGGAGGGGTCCTGCCTCCAGAGCACCCCCACCAGGGTGCTGCAGCTGGAGCCGAGCTGCCATGCTGGGGGCCAGGCCTTTGTCCAGGCCTTGGGGCATCAGCCTCTGAATGCTTTTCACTGGCAGACTCCACCCTATCTCCGTGACCCTGCAGAGATACCCTGAAAATGACTTGGTTCTTCAAGATTACCTGATTCCTGCCAAGGTAGGTGTGGCAAGAAGGCTGCCGGTTCTGTTAATCAGACAGGGGAGGCCAGGGGCAGACTGCAATTGCATAAGGTAGTGGCGAGGGGGCTTCTGTCCTGCCTTTCTTCCTGGGGCTGGCTGGTGGGGTCCTTGGCAGCAGTGGTCCAAGGGTGAATGAAGGGCAGAGGAGACGGTGGTGTTTGGGATGTTGCTGGACTCCTAGGTTAGGAGGGAGATTCCACGGGCTGCCTTGGTTTCTGAGGGTCCTCTGGGACTGAGGAAAGTGGCAGGACAATCCCTTGGGCCATCCCCAGCCTAGTGTTTTGGTGTGCCCATTGGATAGGTGAGGCTCATGGAGAGATGGGGCCTTATTCAAGATCACAGTGGGTATTATGCTGTGCTGGTATTCTTCTGGGCTGTGAAGAGGTAAGGCCTACTCAGACCTCGGCTCACCTTGTCCTCAGACACTGGTGCAAGTGGCCATCTATGCCATGGGCCGAGACCCTGCCTTCTTCTCCAATCCGGACAAGTTTGACCCAACCAGGTGGCTGGGTAAAGACAAGGACCTCATCCACTTCCGGAACCTGGGCTTTGGCTGGGGAGTGCGGCAGTGCGTGGGCCGGCGGATCGCCGAGCTGGAGATGACCCTCTTCCTCATCCACGTGAGTCTGCCCTGGGGACATCTGTCTCCCGGGACTTGGTCTCCCCTCCCCCACAACCCCCTGAGGTCTCCTTTTGGGGTAAATCCACTCACCATCCATGGGGGCTCCCTGGCCATAAGTTCCCACAGAACTTATGATGGGAGGGGGTGGGGGTGGAAAAGGTTTTGTAGAAACCAAAGTGAAAGCCTGAACCAGGGGGACAGAGTGCTAGTGGTATTTTCAGGCTCTGCACAGGGTTCAGTAGGAGCTGGAAGTAGACCCCCTTGGAGCATCTCACATCACACACAACTGCTCCTAGGTGAATGAGCCTGAGCTGGGGGAGACAGACCAGCCCTGTCTCTCCCCTAAGCCCACTACCCCTCTTTCTCAGATCCTGGAGAACTTTAAGGTTGAAATGCAGCATATCGGTGATGTGAACACCATTTTCAACCTCATCCTGATGCCGGACAAGCCCATCTTCCTTGTCTTCCGGCCCTTCAACCAGGACCCGCCCCAGGTGTGACCGGAGAGGGCGGGCACTGCCCTTTCCACCAATCCAGCTAGCCGGGGTGTGGGAGGACGGCCAGAGGGTGTGGGGCCATGGAGCTACCCGCACCTCCATCGCTGGCTCAGTCCACACCCCTTGCACATTTCTGGCCAGCTCTGACCAGATGGAGCTGGCGCTCAGGGGCCAGCTGCTTCAGCTCAGCTGAGGCACCCCTGTCTCACCCTACCTCTTCCCCCTCTTCACCCACCCCATGAAGGCAATAAACAGGTGAATGCTGCAAAGTGCTTTCATTTTCCATCTGACCCCCTAAGGTAGTCATCACTCCTGGAGCGATGCTCTCTGACCCAGGTCAGCAGATAGATCTGAGCATGAATGGAGAACTGCTACCCTTGCAGCCATTTCTGCTGGGACCCACCCACCTACAGCAGCTCAGGAGGCAACAGGCTCCACCGCTCTGTTGTCCTGTTGCTTATGAGGCAGAGCAGATGGATGGCTATTGCCACTGCACCACTGGAGCAGCTGGCAGAGGGACAAAAACTTGGCTGAGTTCTGCTGAGAGAACAGGGCCGCCTGAGAGGTGTGGCCAATCCTGGCTCCCCGGGCAGGCCCACCTATCAGGGGTGAGCCTCCTGCAGTGCTCTGCTTGGCTGAGCCTTGGGTGGGAATTCCCTGTGGGGCCACAAGGACTTCCTGCCAAGGGCCAGTGAGAGTCTCGAGCATGATGTCTGGGGATGATGTGGTGAAGAGGCTGTGGGTGAGGGGCTGGTGTGAGGTGACTGACTCTGGGAAGAAGAGGCCGGCATGCTTCCTCTACCCCACCTGCCCACCCTTCTCTGGGCTTCCCCAGGCCTCAACTTCCTGCACCAGTGGGACAGGCCCACAGGTCCAAGCTCTGGGCATTAGGCAGGGAGACTGGGGCAGAGTCTCTGGTGCATTACTTGGACTGCCTGACAATGGTCTCAATTTTAACCCCCTTGACCCCCTCTGAGTTCTGTGACTCCTGACTTGACCAGGTACCTGAGTCTCCCTGGCCCTTGGCTACTCAAGTCCAAGTTAGGCAGACATGGGAGGCTAGTGCTGCTCAGATAGCAGCCTGAATGGCTTGGCCTCTTCTACCAGGATCTGCAGGTTCTGAGTTCACTCTTGGAGCCTTTCTGCTTTTCCTCATCACAGTCTGCTTCCTTATTGTCTTTCTCTCTCCTTCCTGCTTCCTTTCCTTTCTCCAGACTTGAGTCGTTTTTGCTTGGAAATGTTAGAGTTGGAGGGCCTTACGGTCACAGATGTTAGCCCAGAGAGGTTGCTTGAGTCACTCAAGATCACACAGCATGCTTGTAGCTCGAAGCCAGGCCTCCTAACTTTCAGTGGAGGGCTCCTCCTTCTAGCCCCATCTGCTTTTCTGTCCCCGGATGTGTTTAGACACAACACTCCCAGCTCAGCCTATCCCTTGTGAATGGAGTATTTCATACTAACATGTAACTGATTGTCACAGGCAGGCTTCAAGTCTTTTCCTTCCCAAGAAACAGAGAAACCAAACTTGAAACAAAGGATTTCAGATATGATACATGTTGAGGGGCAGGTAGAAAATCCCAGCCTCTCTTACCAGCTGACCTCTGGTGGTCTCAATTCTTTTGGAGGTCTGAATGGGGCTTGTCTTCCTGGTTCCTGCTTTGAAAGGCCTCTTCACTCTCCCTGCCCACTCCTGTCCTGGGTCCACTATGGCATTTGACTCTCTAAAGAGGGTAGCTCCTGGAACAGGCAGGAGGCTATAGGGCTACAGCAGAGGGCCCAGACCCAGAGTGGGGTCTGGAAGGAGGAAGCTTAGGTACCCCAGGCTGCCCTGCTCTGGGAAAGGGGTGAATGCTCACTGACATACAGCATTTAATAAAGTCATTTTAAGGGGGTGGGGCTGAGACTCCAGCACGCAGAAGGGGAGGTCTGCTCTAGGACTCAGGCCTGCTAGGAGTCAGTCTGTTGAGATTTCGAGAGCTTGTTGAGCTTAGTCTCTGAGCTGGGCATCAAGGGGTCCAACTTGGAGGGTTGCGTTTGGTCCTTGGAGGGGTTCTATGGTGGCAAAGCGAGACGAAATGAGTATGCCTCTGCCCCCAGAGGGGTGATCCAATAAAATGCATCTTTCCTGGAAAGTCATGCCTCAGACAATCTGAAATCCAGTGGGTCATGACTTCTCAAAGGTTTGCAAACCCTTTTAACCACAGTAGGTCATACCTAATTTCTCCCAGAGTCTCCAGGGCTCAGTGGGTAAGTCTACTAAGGTAGCCTGGTATTCCTCCCATCCCCAGTGCCCCCATCCTTTTCGGGTCTGTCCAGGAGCCAGGAAAGAAGCAGAATACTGATGATTCAAGAGCAGGAGCAATCAGGGGGTTTGCTTTGTGGGGCTGGGTGGTCCAGGGCTGAGTTTGAGGGGCCTATTTGTTCTCGGGAAGCTGGCAAGTTTTCTCTCTGGCAGCACGATCCCATCTCTGGCAGTGTGCGGCACTGCACTTGCCCAAGAAGGACATGTTCATGGGAGAATCTTAGGCACTGTGGGGTGGGGTGGGAGCCACAGCTACTCTGCCCATGAGCAAATCCAGTCCTAAGGTATAGCCAGTGCCAGGGCATTTGAGAAATGCCCTCGTGAGCAACCTGTCAACCACAGTCATCTCGTTGGTGATGCTCATCACCACCTGAAGGGGAGGGCATGTCTTGGCAGGATTCACTATTCCCCTTAGACCAGGGGGCATTGCAATGGGGCAAGAGCTTCGGCTGGTAACTGAGCAGAAGCTGAGCCTGGGTCCTCTGACTACCAGCCAGGAAGCAAGACCCCCGGGACAGTTTTTCTCAAGGTCCAGTGACTCTGGAGGTGGGGTGGCTGCCAGATCCACCACCCGAGCCCCAAGGAGCTCCCTCATGGGGATCACTCACGGGCACGTCTGTGGTGGCCATGTTGGAAGGGTGCCGCAAGCCATATTCTTGTTCCTGCAGCCGTGTGGCCAAGTCCTGCTTCTCTCGTCCCCAGCGCCGAGCTGAGTCCTCTAACTGTAGTTATGAAGAGGCACAGATAGAGAACCACTAGGCAGCAGGCCCCCTCCCTGAGAGCTAGGACAGCCTACCTGAGCCTGCTCTTTGGGGTAAAAGCAAAACCCGAGTTCATGTGGGCTAGCTACCCTCCCAAGAGACCTCAGGGTGACAAGAGTGGGTGAAGAGGGACTCAGTGACCGCTTGACTATGACTGATGGATCTTCTGTTAGTTCCACTGCATACTGAGCCCAGACACTATTACAATGAGTCCAACCAACCCTCCACCACGGGGCTCCAGCCCTCCTTATATGTATGGGAAGCCCTGTATCACCTCAACACTTGTCACGAGTTGAGCCCCCAAACTCCTCATGCACTGAGCCCCAAACCTCTGTCACACAGGGAGCCCTGACCCTGATCACAAAATGAAAGTGAAAGTCGCTCAGTTGTGTCCAACTCTTTGCGGCTCCATGGACTGTAGCCCACCAGGCTCCTCTGTCCATGGAATTCTCCAGGCAAGAATACTGGAGTGGGTAGCTGTTCCCTTCTCCAGGGGATCTTCCTGACCCAGGGATCAAACCCAGGTCTCACCATTAAGGAAGCCCCCCTGATCACAAATGGAGCCCCAACTTTCCTGACACACAGATCCCAGACCCTCCTCACAAACTGAGCCACCACCCTGATCACACGTGAAGCATGGACCCAGTCACACACCAAACTCAGACCCTGGTTCAAATGGAGGCCTGACACTGGATGCAGACCGAACCCTGATCCTCCTCACTGAGCCCAGATGTGGTCACACAGGGAGCCCTGACCCTGGACAAACATTGAGTCCTGACCTTGGTCACACATGGAGCCATAACTCACACACTGAGCCCCAACCCTCCAAACACATGGAGACCTGACCCTTCATACAAGGAGCCCCAACCCAGGTCACAAATGGAGCTCTGACCCTGGATGCAGACTGAACCCTGACCTTCCTCACTGAGCCCAGACATGGTCAAACAGGGAGCTCCATCCCTGGACAAACACTGAGCCCAGATCCTGGTCACATATGGAGCCCCGACACTGGTCATATACAGAGACCTGACCCTCCAAACACACAGAGCCCCCACTCTCGAGACTACACAGGGAGTCTCAACCCTCCTCACACCCTGAGCCCCAACCCTCTTCTAACATGCAGGCCTGACCCTGGTCACCAGTGGAGCCCCAATTCTTCTCACAGAGCCCTAACCATCCTGAAACACAAATCCCTGATCCTGGTCACAAAGCAAGCCTTCACCCTCTTCACACTTGGAGTCCTAACCTCCTCATACAGGGAGTCCCGACCATAGCAAACACCCATCACCAGTGCCGGACACACACAGAGCTCTGACCCTGGTCATACAGGGAATTCCCACCCTGGTCATGCATGGAGATTGACCTGAGCCCAACCTACTGTAACATGCAGCCTTGACCCTGGTCACAAAGTGAACCCTGACTTTCTTCAGACACTGAGCTCTGACATTCCTCATACAGGAAGTCCAAACCCTAGACCAAAACTGATTACTGAGACTTCCCTGTCATCCAGCAGTTGAGAATCTGCTTTGCAACGCAGGGGACACAGGCAAGCTAAGCTCCCACATGCCTCGGGGCAACAAGGCTCGTGTGCCACAACTACTGAGCCTGCGCTCTCCACAGCTAGAGTCTGTGCCCTGCAAGGAAAGATCCCGCATGACACTACGAGGACCCTGTGTGCTGCAACTAAGGCCCGATGCAGCCGAATAATAAATAAATATTAAAAATAAAACCACCATCACCAACCCTCAACACACACAGAGCCCCCACTCTGATCACACACAAAGCCTTGACCCTCCTCCTCTCATACAGAGCACTGACCCCAGTCACACAGTGAACCACGACCCTCCTCACAGAGGAAATTCCCACCCTGGTCACCCTCAGAGACCCAATCCCCCTCACACACTGGACCCCAACCCTGGTCACACAGGGAGCCCCGACGCTAGTCACACACCAGGCACTAGTCCCAAAACTGACCCCCCAATCCTGGTCACAAATGGGCCCCTGACCCTGGATGCAGACTGAGTCCTGACCCTACACATACACATTGAGCCCAAATGTATTAAATAGGAAGTCCTGATACTCTAAATTGGGGAGCCCCAATCCTAGTCATGAATTAAATCCTGACCCTCCTCACACATACAGCCCTGATCCTTTTCAAACACAGAGCCCCGATTCTGGTCACAAATGGACCCAAACCCTCCTCAAACTTGGAGCCTTGGTGCTCCTCACACACAGAGCCTCCAACCCTCCTGAAATATAGAGGTGGAGCCAGGTCTCTGAACTGAGTGGAGACTCCCTGGCCTGTGTGATGCCTTCACCTCACCTACCTGGCTTTCCAGGGACAGGATCCGGCTCTGAGCTAGTTCCAGCTTGGCCAGGAGGTTAAACTTGTCTGAATTATTGGCAAGGAGATCCTGTGGGCAAAGCAGAAATTCGTACATGGTCCCCGTAGGGAGCTGGAGCTCGGGAGGCCAGGTGACACTGAGGGAGAAATCAGCCAGGTCCAAGCTCCAAGTTCAGCTCCCAGTGCAGAGCCTCAGCTGGCATTTAGTCGCTCAGTCATGTCTGACTCTTTGCAGAACCTCAGACTCAGGGCCAAAGCCCCTGCCCAGGGTTTCACACTTGGCATGTGCCATTTTCACAGCTGTTCTCTCCACATAGTTTTGAGTGTATGAAATTTTTGTACATCAATTAAAATTTTAAAAATATACAAGGGAGGGCTTCTCTGGTGGCTCAGGGGTGAAGAACCCCCTGCCGGTGCAAGGTACACGACTTTGACCCCTGATCTGGAAAGCCCCCACATGCTGCGGAAGCAACTAGGCCCATGTGCCACAACTCCTGAGCCTCTGCTCTAGAGCCTGGGAGCCGCAACTACTGAGCCCACATGCCTAGAGCCCGTGCTCTGCAGCTAGAGAAACCACTGCGATGAGAAGCCCATGCACCACAATGAAGAGTAGCCCCTGCTCACTGCAGTTGGAGAAACCCCACACACAGCAACGAAGACCCAGCACAGCCATAAGTAAATGAATATATCTTTAAAAAAAAGTATTAATACTAGGGAGCACTAGGTTAGTGCACAGAAGGGAACCTTGAGCTGGTGAGGGGGGTGGTCTTTCTGTAAAGTAAAGGATCTGCTTGTAAAGTGACAGTTCCCCATCTTCCACACTTTACCTGGATGTCCACGCATCAAGGGTGCTTTCAAACAGAACTCACCTCCTGCGAATCCTGGGATGAAGAGAAAAACTCTGCTGTGCCCAGCCCACCTGGCTTTTGTAATTCCAAATGTTTGGTCTCTGGGTTTGCATAAAGCAGGGACACCTGTAACAGCCTCAGAAGGAGAGAGGGGCCAGGGACACCCACCTGTGTGGTCAGGGTGCCCCTGGAGTGGCCCGGGGCTTCTGTCTCTTGCAGTCTCTCTGCCTGGTCTCCTCTTGCTCCCAACTCCCCAGGGACCACCTGGGCTCAGGGAAAGGGCTCTCTAAGGCTGTCCCAATCCCAGAAAATGCTCCAGGATGGAGTTCTGAGAGCCCTGTGTGGGGCCCCACTGCAGGCCAGCCAGGTGGCATATGGGGTCAGGGGTCAGCTAGGGGCTTGCTTGCTCTCCCAGGATACTAGATGAGGGTAAAGGTGCAGCTTTCAGACTCGTGTGTGTTCCCCAGGGGAAGAGCCAAGGCCCGAGAGCTAGAGACTCTCCAGAGATTCCAGGCACACTGGAGACCCTGGGAAACCTAGCTCCTGGCCTGGGGCTTTGCCTCGGATTGTGCGGTGGGTGGTTTCTGGGCACCTGGTGACCTGGGTGGGCAGGCCCAGGACCACAGTTGTGCTGGTGGCTCTTACCGGCAGGGCCTCTGGCTGCAGAATGACGGGGGCTGACTGGTGGCAGTTCTTATCCAGCTCTGCCTGCAGTCTCAAGTTTTCCGTGAGCAGCACTGAGTAGACGTCAACAGGCAGATTCTCGCCCGTAGGATCCAGGGGAAGGCCAGAGGCCGAGAGCATGGGGAAGGCTGTGAATGTGGCCATAGACGTGCATGAGATAGGCTTTCCTGCCTCCATGTGCCTGACCCAATCTGCCTCAGTGTTTTCCTTCTTTCTGCTCATCCTCTGCTCCCCAGCCTGCTATGGCTCCCTACTGCCAGTGAGATCAGGTCCACATGCCTCCTGAGGCCATTGTTCTAGGCTCTTTAGAATCTGACCTGGGTGATCTCCCTAATCACTGCCCTGCCCTTTGTCCTGGGTCTGTTTCAGTTCCTCATCTCTATCTTTCCTCCTTTTCCTGCTTCTGTCATCCTTACTCCCTGGGCCAGGGCCTGGCTCTTTCCTCTCCCAAGATTGCCTTCTCATCTCTCATGCTAACCTCAGGGTTCCTGAAAGGTGGGCCCAACTTTCATTGTTTCTTACAGGCCTTCAAAAATGCCCCCTCACTGACACCCCATGCAGTGAAGGCTGTCACAGGGCTGGGCTTACAGGGGTCCCCGGTGAGGTGGCACAGAAATCCTCTGCTTGGGCTGACATGATCCTGTGCGACCTGGTTCTCTTCTGCTTATCAGAGCTGCCTTGGATGGGCAGTTCTAGGTGGCTTTGGTTTAACATCGATGGAGAAAGCAAATCATAGACTTAACCAAAATATTTTTTTTCTGTTTATTTTGTAGAAACAGACTCTTTGAAGATATAGGGAGATGAGTATATAATTTGAAGGGTCCTGGAGTTAAGAAGTTGGGAACTGCTGCCTGGGAAAGCCCCTCTTTGCAGGCAGCCCATCTCTGTTCACTTGAGTCTCAGAGCTGCTTCTGGAAGGTCAGAGCCTCTTTCTAGCATGGTTCACACGCTGTGTCCCCTCCCTTGTGTTCTGAGGGGCTCCCTGGCAGGAGAAGGGAGTTCAGGGGGCCTCTGGAAGTGCTGAGTGTCTGAATGAATGGGGAACTAGCACCCTCTGGGCAGGTTGAAGGTGCTTCTGAAACTGTGAGGCTCCAAGAAGGCAGGGCCTCCAGGGGCGGAACGACAGCCGGGGAGCAGACTCACGCATGCTGGGCTTTCCCTGCGGCTTGTCCTGCAGAGGCTTGCTCCTCTTTCGCAGCTTGTCCTCCAGCACTTGCTCCATCTTCTCGATCACCTGGAGGGCGGAGCACAGGGGCTGGGCTTGCCCAGGGGCACCACACCTTCCCCTCAGTGGCTGGGTCTGGGCAGCCTGGCCCTTCTGCCACCTGCCTTCTCCTGGTGTCTCACGGTCTCCTCCAGCGCCTTTATCTTCTGCAGCTTGTCCTGGTAGCGCTTCAGCAGTGCAGCCTGTGGCTGCTGAGCCTGGTGTAGGAGGAGCAGCTCCTTTTCTCGATCATTCTTCTGACGGTGCCGGGGGGGCGGGGGGGAGAGGGGAGAGGAGGGGGAACAGGGGTGCCCTTGGCCCGAGGGTCCACCCCAGCCCTCTCTGCTCAGTCCTCCTCTGCCCTGGCCCCTGGGCCCTATGTCCCTCTTCCTTCTACTTTCAGACACTCCCTCCCGAGCGCCCTTCCCCTCTGCCCTCCGAGCCCTGGCTTACTTGAATCAGTTCGTTCTGCAAACGCTTGTCCCTCAGCTCCTTTATGTCCAGCTCGCTCAGCAGCAGTTTCTGCTTCACGGATGCTGGTGGTGGTGGAGGAGCTGGCTCAGGGTGGAGGCCCCTCCCAATTCAAATTGGAATACTTGGTGGGGGGGCAGGTGGGGAGGGCAGGTGTCTCTCAGTCCTGGGGCTTGAGACAGGACTGGACTCTCAATTTCCCACCCCGGAGAGACCCCAGGATCCTATTGATTAGCCTGTGTCCCGCAGCATGCAGCACCCCTGGGCGAGGCCCCCACCACCCTGTTCCCTCGGTGGCCTGCACACCCTCACCCAGGTTCTGGGCCTTGCCGGGGCTGGCTGACTCCTCTTCTACCTCCTTCTGGGCCAGCTGGCTCCTCAGCAGGCGATTCTCTGCCTCCAGGATGCTGGTCTGTTTCCGCAGTGACAGGATGTCTTCTGCCATCTTCTGCATGGCCCGCCGGTAGTTGTTCATCTCCTGTGGACTCCAGAGCTCAGAGCTGAACCCCCAGCCCCACTGTGGCCGCCACCCAACATCGACATTCACACTTGGAAATCAGCGGGTCACTCCCGAGGCCAAAGAACAGAAAGAATCTCAAGCTGTGCCCTCAAGTCTTAGCAACTCTTTGGAGGGGTGGTCATGACAGGGTCTTCACCCCTCCTGGTCAGTGAGAAGAGCTGTGTAAATGTGCTCTTCTGGGGGCTTATGTCTGTTCCTGAGATGCCTTCTAGCGGGGACCCAGGCGTCAGACACCAGTGAGGAAGCCCCTGCGTGATGGAGATTTGAAAAGCTCTGGGCCAGCTCTCCAGGGCCTGGCCAAATCAGGGCCATTTTCACCTTTTCCCTTCTCCTTTCTTCCTTCTCTAATCCCTCTTCTTCCTCGTGTCACTGAGAACCTAGGGAAGAATCTACTCTGAAATCTCCCTGAATGCCCCTTGGGAGCTGCCCCTGGGCACCAGCCTCCCAACCAGCCCAGGGGTCTTGAAGGGACCCAAGGTAAGCCTGGGAGACCCAGATAAGGACTCAGGGTCAGTGCTAGGATCCAGGTATAGGATCCAGGGTATGAGGTGGGGCCAGGATGCCAGGCTCTGTCATTAGGTTAGGAGTAACAGCAATACTAATATCTGGTGTTCACTGAGCATTTACCATGTTCTAGGTCAGGCCCGCCTCCTTCATTTAGCCTGTGAGGATGGGTTCTATTATCATCCTCATTTTACTGACGATGAAGACAAGGGCCAGAGAGGCAAGTAGCCTGCTCAGTCACAAAACTAATGAGTGGCAGGGTCAGGGCCTGAAATCCATGCCTGCTGGCCCTTGAATCCTTGTTCTTAAGCTCTGTGCAATCCTGTCATGATGTCCCCATATAGGGAAACTTCACAATATTTTGAGAAGTGATGAAAACAGGTTACTACAAAGAATTATGATCTCAACTTGGGGAAAAAAATGGATGTTTGCCCTTATGTGTACATAGGAGAATTCATAGGTTATATTTACACTATTTGCTTTATAATCAGAAATTCCCTACTGTTATTTACAAACACTTTTGTGAAGATAGTTTCTTAAATATAAACAGTACAACAAAATAGAAAAGAGAGACTCAAAATGTGAAGCCAGAAAGATCCGCGGAGGGGGAGGAGGTAGGAGCTAGGTTGAGGGTGGAGCAGGAGGAGGGAAGCAAGGCCATGGGGAGCTTGCTAAGCCCTGGTGGCCTGTGGCTTTCCTGAGACTGTGCAGGCCTTGCAGGCAGGGGGTGGGGGCTCCAGCCAGGAAGGGGCTCCCAAGTCCTCAGGAAGCAGAGCTTGGTCCCCAACTCCCACCTGGGCCCCATGCTGAGTGGGGATGTGGCTTGGCTCCCAGTCACTGCCTCCAACCTGTTGCATGGTGGGCTGCTGCTTCCCGGAGTGGGGTTTCCAGACAGCAGGGGCTCATCAGATACCACTTGTCACCTGCTACTGTCTAGCCTTCTGGCTAGACTGCCTCTGAGTGGTGCCAGTGCTGGGCCCATCTCCCCAGCACCTGCCCCAGTCAAGTTTCAGGTCTTGGCTCCTGTAGATCTGCCCATCTGGTGCCCTCAGACAGCTACATTAATTAGGACACTCAGCCCAGAGACTGCACCCCCACAGGGCTTTGTGGTCAGGCCCCAGGCAGAAGCCCAGCTTGGCTACTGACTCACTGAGTGAGCTTGGACGAGCCCCTTCAGCAAGGGGACGAGCCCCTTACTGAGCCTCAGATTCCTCTGGCAGGAGGAGCGTGGAGTTGCTGCAAGCTCTGAGTTCAGGGGCCCTGCCTCAGGCATGCAGGCCTTAGAGGCAGCAGTTCCCACCCCACCCCATCTCTGTTCTAGTGCCAGCTTTAGTTAACAGGTCAGACCCCTTCCTCTTCATCCTTGCTACCCTCAGCCTGGGTTCCCTTGCTCCCTCCTCTGCTGTGTTCTACATCTTCAATGTATAGCAGGCCCCTGATGGACAGGGGTTTGGGAGGCTCAGTAGACTGTCAAGAGGAACCACATGATATTTTTGAAAAAGGAAATTCATCTCTCCTTTCCCTCCCTAGCCTAGTTCAGGCTCTTCTCATGTCTTCTCTGAACAATTACAGCAGTATCCAAGTGGGTTTCCTTGATTTAGAATTATCTTTTAGAGAAAACCCAACTCATCCAAGAAAACAAGTTCAAGGATGCCCCACACACTGCAATTCGTGATTTTATTCTGGGAAATGCTCAGTCTCTGGATATAGGCAGTACTTACAAGGAATGACCTAGATTCAATTGTTCTAAGGCAGAGATGTCCATACTGTATTTTTAAGTAAAAAAAAAAAAAAGAAAAAAAAAACCAACGTGGCAAATTAATATGATTACATCCACAACTGGTATGTGTATGTGTGAATGCATGTGTGCACTTGTGTGCATGAGTGCATACATACAGATGTATAGTAACAGTAGGAACTGATCAGTTTGGGAAGGAAAAGGAAAATTTGCTTAATCTCTGCATTTTTCTAAGAATTTATTCATGTTATTCATCTAATTAAAAATAATTTAAACCAAAATACATTGAGGGCTATACCATGCTCACAGATTGAAAGATGAAATGTTTAAAGAGTTAGTTCTTCCTTAAACTGATTCATAGATTCAATGTATTTTCAATTAAGATCATAACCCTCTTGTATACGTGGAGAAATAGATGAACTGGTTCTATGAGAAATAAAAAGAACAAGTATAGCCAAAATACTTTTGAAGAGGAACAGGTGGGGAGACTTGCTCTATCAGCTGTCAAGATTTATGATAAAGCTACAGTAATTAAGACAGGGTAATATAACTGCAAAGTTTGATAAGCAGGCCGAAACATGAGAGAGCCCTAATACAGATCCACACATATACGGACTCAACATATGATGGTGTTACAGGGTGGTAGGGAAAGGATAGTAATTTTAATAAAAGGTGCTGTATCAATTTGACATCTATCTGGAGAAAAGGGAAACTTGACTCCTATTACATACCATAATTAAAAATAAATCCAGATGGACTGTAGATCTAAGTGTAAAAGGTAAATCAATAAAGCCTCCAGGAGACAAGGCTAAGAATATCTTTATGAACTTGGGGTAGGGAAAGGTTTTTCAAAACAGGAAATCTCAAAAAAAGGGGAGACTTCCTTGGTGGTCCAGTGATTGAGATGCAAGCCTTCACCACTATGGACTCAGGTTCAATCCCTGGTTGGGAAACTAAGATCCTACAAGTCACGCAGAATGGCAAAAAACAAAACCAAACCCAAAACAAAAAATGCCCAAACCAAAATATGCCCCCAAAGCACAAATCAGGATAGAAAAGACTGATAAACTGGTACATTTAAATTAAGAAATTTTATTCGTGTAAAGACATCATTAACAGGGTGAAATGGGCAAGAAAAGTGGGAGAAGATACTTGCAACAAACATAACCAAAGATGAACTGATATTCAGATATAAAAACGATTCCCAGGCTTCTCTGTGGTTCGGTGGTAAAGAATCCACCTGCCAATGCAGGAGACACAGGTTTGATCCCTGGTCCAGGAAGATCCCACATGCTGCAGAGCAACTAAGCCCAAGGGCCTCAACTATTGAGCCTGTGCCCTAGATCCCGGGAACCACAACTACTGAAACCCACGCTCCCTGGAGCCTACGCTCCACAACAAGAGAAACCATCACAGTGAGAAACCCACGAACCACAACTAGAGAGTCATCCCTGCTCAAAGCAACTAGAGAAAACTGCACAGCCACGAGGTCCCAGCATAGCCAATGAATACATAAAACATAAATAAATAAAATTATAAAAAACAACTCTTACAAATCCATAAGAGGAAGTCAGACTATGTAATAGAATAATGGACAAGAGATTTGAACTGACCCTCAACAAAATAAGCCAATAAGCATCTGAATTGGTGGCCACTCTCATTAGTCCTTTAAAACCAAAAAGATTCTGCTATACACTGCCACATTGACTAAAACAAAAACAAAACAATCCTGACCATATCACATGTTGGTGATGATGTAGAACAAGTAGAATTCTTAGTCTCTGCTGGGGGAACGTGAAGTGCTACCATCTTTTCACAGATATGTTCGGAAACTGGATCCTATTCATGTTGAACACCTGCATAGCCTATGATCTGGCAATTATACTGCTGAGTATGTACCCACCCCCCCAAAATGCACATGCGAATGCATCAAGAAGCTGGTGTAAGAACATAACTAGCAGTATTATTTGTGATAATCTTAAACCGGAAATAACACAAGTACCCATCACAGTAGAATGGTGGGAGAGTCATATGATAAGATGCTACACAGCAATACAAATGAATCAGTGATGGTCACGGAAAACCACATGGAGGAATCTCTCAAACTAATTGTGAGCAAAAGAAGTCAGACACAAAGTACCTACTCTACAGTTCCATATAGATTTTCTCTAAAAGCAAGTAAACTTTAACAGGTTAGAAATCCGGGTATTAGACCCCCTCTTGGGAAGGTAGAGAGATGACGAGGGCATGAGGGAGCTTCTGGAGTGCTGGCAGTGCTCTTCTTGACCTGTAGGACCTGTAGGGGGTTACATGTGTGTGTTCAGCTTGCAATGATTCATCCCTTGAATACATTTATGTTTTGCGTGTTTGTTTGAATGGGTGTTGTACTTTACATTAAAAAGTTTAAAACTTTTAATGGGCTGGAGGAAGCACAAGCTGGAATCAAGATTGCTGGGAGAATTATCAATAACCTCAGATATGCAGATGACACCACCCTTATGGCAGAAAATGAAGAACTAAAGAGCCTCTTGATGAAAGTGAAAGAGGAAAGTGAAAAAGTTGGNGACACGACTGAGCAACTGAACTGAGCTGAATTAATTAAAAAAGAAATGAAATCTTGGTTCAACTTTGCTTAAGTACAGGAAGCCTCCACATTGCCACCCCTTTGGAGATCATCCTGGTTCTCAGCAATAGTGGGTTCCTTTCTAGCCCTGAGCTTTGGATGCTCCCTGTGGGCACTGATTCTGGGCCCTGATTGCAGCCTCTCCACCCTGTGAGGCTTACCCAGTCCTGTCTGGGAGAAATGGCCAGATCTGCTCTACCTCCTTGGCAGGGCCCTCTGAGAGCAAGCAGGCCACACACTGACCCTTGTTGAGGGCCTAAAGGATGCCTCAGAACATCCTATGAGACTCAGATTAGTTCAGGTCTCCCATTGCCTGCAGATGTGAAGCAAGCCTTTGTACCCAGACCCTGCTAAAACCTGTGCTCTTTGCACCTACTGGATTGAGGAAGGTTGGGGCTTCTCCCAGAGGGAAGAAGATTGAGATCCTGCCCTGACAGTAGCTGAATCTGTCTACAGAAATTGAGGGGCACTGATGGGGGAGGTGGCCAGAACAGGCACCAGTGTCCATATGATGTCCCAAGGTCCCAGGGTACCCTCTGTCCCTGATGCCAAGGCTGCCTGGGGTGGAGATGGAAGAAGGGCATCCCCAGCCTGCTTCTCAGGGAGCTGGAAGTGCCCGGGTCTCCCTGTGTTGGGACAGGTGGGCATGCAACCTGCCTAGCACAGTGAGAAAACTGCTGGCCTGAACCCATTGCTGCTTCACCAGCTTTTCCTTCAGTGGGTCCTGCCCAAGGTAGGGGTGGAGGGAGAGAGGCCCTGGGCAGGGAAGAACCCTTCTGGATGCTGGGGTCCGGGCACCTTAGTCTATGTGTGTGTGGGTGGGGAGGGCTGAGAACATCACGGCTGTGGTTCAGAATGAGCTCCTGAGGTTTGCAGCAGCTTTCTTCCTGCCCTGCTTCAACTTAAAGGCAAAGTCTAAGGCTTGGCATTCAAGGCCTCTTACAAGCCACCCTCTTATGCCCATCAACCCCGCCCTTCCCCTCCAGCACTCTTATCTCCCCCTTCACATCTCTACTCAGGCTGAACTATTAATATCTGCAGAGAACCTCTCCCCCATTTCCACTACCCAATCTTTGATCTTTTATCGTCCACTCAGTAATTTGTAGTCTAAAGGACTGCAGAGAGAGCAAACCAGTCAGTCCTAAAGAAAATCAATCCTGCATATTCATTGGAAGGACTGATGCTGAAGCTGAAACTCTAATACTTTGGCCACCTGATGTGAAGAACTGACACATTGGAAAAGACCCTGATGCTGGAAAAGATTGACGGCAGGAGAAGGGGACGACAGAGGATGAGATGGTTGGATGGCATCACCGACTCGATGGACATGGGTTTGAGCAAGTCTGGGAGACGGTGAAGGACAGGGAAGCCTGGCATGCTGCAGTCCACGGGGTCGAAAGGAGTTGGACATGAATGAGTGAACGAACAACACCAACAGTAATTTGTAGTTGCATGAGGGCTGGTAGTGTGTGTGCTCCTGAGTCTGCATGTGTGTGCACCTGCGCATGTGTGCGTGGAGGGAGTCCTGGGGAAGGGGCTGTGGCCTTGGCCTACCCCACGGGTCTAATCAGCTCCTCTTCTTATTCAGGGCTCGCCCTTTCTAATGCCCTATTACTGCTCACTCAGGAGTCCTGGGGGTGAACAAGGCTCTATTCTTAACACCCCTTCTCCTTGACAAAGAAAGAAAGATGAGGTCCAGAGGAAGGGAAAAAAAGAAATGGAGAAGGACAGTGTGGCTCCTGCTGACGTGGTGGGGGGGGGTCCTTACATCAGCCACATGGCCGATGGGTTCTTGGGGGCTCCATCCCTGGGAGGTTAGCCCTACTGAGCTTCCACAGGCCCCGCCACTACCCCCCAGCTAAATCTCTTCTGGAGGGGTGGAGAGGGACCTGGCCCTGGATCACCCACCCTCAGGCTCTACTCTTGCCGGCTCCCTCTGTCCCAGGGGACCCAGAGGGGAGGCAACCTCCCTTCCTCTCCAACTCCACTCACCCCAGCTGAGCCATGCTTCTAGACGGCAGCCCTGACCTCTCCCCACAGACTGGGCCGGGCTCCCGGCTCAGGGCCACGTTCTGCGTCACAGCGCAGCCTTGAGAAAACCCAGGACACCACGACCCAGATTCCTGTGGTGCGCGGCCCCTCCGCTTGCGCCCTCTCCCTCCAGCTCCCAGGCTGCTCTGCTGTGCGGGTTGTGGGCAGGACGTCAGCCTCACTCCTGTCTCTCTGGGTCTGCTCACCCTCTACGGACAAGGGCTCTACCTGTGCGTGACCCCGAGTGCCCACTGTACCCCCCTCACCCACTGGGACCCCGGCTCTCTGAGCAGCGGAGGTGAGAAGCACCAGGTGGCCCTGGGTTCATAACTCTCCTGCTACAGGGTGTTGGTGGCCTTTGCTGCATGACCCTCCTCTCTGGCTCTGGAAGGGTGGTAACTATGCTCTGAGCCTCAGTGTCCTCATCTGTGGAATGGGAAAATAGTCTCATCTCAAGCGGCGGCTGTGGAGACAGGAAGTGAGATGAGGGCCTGCCTGGCTCTGGTGTATAGGCTGCCTGGAGACGCCACATCCCATCTTTGTTTTTTGGCCACACCTTGGCTTGTGGGATCTGAGTTCCCTGACCATGGACTAAACCTGGGCCGCCGCAGTGAAAGCCTGGGATCCTAACCACTAGGCCACTAGGGAACTCTCTCTACCTCCCATCTTTGTATCACTTTTGATAACCTACAAACTGGATACAAAGTAGAAATAACCTTACACATATAAAGAGCAGGTGAGACAATGAGGAATTATTGGACATAGATTTTAAAAAAGTATCTCTGTGATAGGGAGATAGCCTTCTGCTTTGGATAATGGCAGATGCAGTAACACAGACCAGCTTTCCTTGTAGATAAGCTGCAAAGCTGGATACAAAGTAGAAATAACCTTACACATATAAAGAGCAGGTGAGACAATGAGGAATTATTGGACATAGATTTTAAAAAAGTATCTCTGTGATAGCCCTGAGCACCAAGTCCAGAAGGTATGATTATCTGACTGCTCCCCTCTTATAGAAGCCGAGGCCCAGCGTCCACCTCACTCTCTTTAATTAAGGAGGAGGGGCAGTGGTGATCTTTCACAAAAGCCTGAAGAGGGCAATGCTTGCCCCTTTGTCCCACAAAGAAGTTTCTTATGGTGGAATCAGAGGCACTTCTGCCACTTGGGGATGTTCAAATATCCTTGTGGCCACAACCAACTATGTTGGCCAAAGTGAAAGTGAAAGTCGCTCAGTTGAGTCTGAATCTTTGTGACCCCATGGACTGTATAGTCCATGGAATTCTCCAGGCCAGGATACTGGAGTGGGTAGCCTTTCCCTTCTCCAGGGGATCTTCCCAACCCAGGGATCAAACCCAGGTCTCCTGCGTTGTAGGCGGATTCTTTACCAGCTGAGCCACAAGGGAAGCCCAAGAACACTGGAGTGGGTAGCCTATCCCTTCTCCAGCGAGTCTTCCTGACCCAGGAATCAAACTGGGGTCTCCTACATTACAGGCAGATTCTTTATCAACTGAGCTATCAGGGAAGCCCAGGTATGCCTTTTTTCAGATGGGGAAATGGAGGCTAGAAGGCGGCAGTGTGCCCAAGGTCACAGAGACTCAGTTATAAAGCCTTGACTGGGAGCAGCTCAGTAAACACCCAGTCAACCAGCACTTGCTGAGTGCCATGTGTGAGCTATGCTGGGGCCTCAGAGCCCAGAGGAGCCCAGACTGTTCCAGGCTGTGGTGGGCTCCCCTCTACACTGAGGAGGTTGGCAGGACGTGCCTGTGACAGAGGGAACCTCAGAGGAGGCTCTTAACCCAGCCTCGGGGCAGGGTGGGGCAGGAAGGCTTCCTGGAGGAAGGGATCATCTGAGTTGACTCTTGGGAATGAGCTCTCTGGAGGTGGAGAGAGGGCTCTCTGGGCAAAGGAGTGTACACTGCTCTGTGGATCAGTCATGCCTGACTCTTTGGAACCCCATGGACTGTAGCCTGCCAGGCTTCTCTGTCCACGGGATTCTCCAGGCAAGAATACTGGAGTGGTTGCCCTTTCCTCTTCCAGGGGATCTTCCCGACCCTGGAGATGCAGAGCCTCCTGCATCTTTTGCATTGGCTGGTGGATTCTTTACCACTGAGCCACCTGGGGAGCCCCTGGGCAGAGGAGATGCTGTGGCAAAGACAAGGAGGTGAGAGAGAGTGAGATTAGGAGCAAAGCAGATGAGAGCAGGGTGCAGGGAGGAGAAATACGGGTTCAGTTGGAGAGGTAGCCGGGCAGACAGAAGACAGCCTTGAAGGCCAGTCTCAGGGCCTAGGACTCCGTTCTGAAGGCCATGGAAGGGCCTAAGCTGTGGGGCAGGGGGTGCCTGTGATAAGACCTCTCAGGATGCTGAGCCCAGAAGACAAATCAGGAGAATGAAGGCTGAGAACAGTGAGCCAGGTGAACTTGTTGGGACCTGTATTAGGGGGAGGCAGTGGGTCTTCAGGGGAGGAGGTGTGTGCATGGAGTACGGAGGCTGAGGCTGGGGGGAGGGGGGAGGTACCTGTGTGGCCTTCAGGTGAAGGTGGTCAGAAGCAGCTAATGGTGGTAAGCTTCTAAAGAATCTCAGCTGGAGATAAAGGGGTGGGAAGACAGCCTCCAAAGTGTGATGGAAACCTTGAAAGGAGATTTTCCAGAGTCAGAGGAAGTGTCTGGGGGGAGAGGGGTTCAAGGACAAAGGAAAAGGGTGGTGGTGGGACAGGAGCCTTCAAGTTCAGGGAAATTGCCAGAGGGGTGGAAGGAAAAGGGGTGGGTGCCAGCTGGCTTGGCCAAGGCCACAGAGCTTAAGAAAGGAGGGGAGATAGCCTTCTGCTTTGGATAATGGCAGATGCAGTAACACAGACCAGCTTTCCTTGTAGATAAGCTGCAAAGCTGGATACAAAGTAGAAATCACCTTCTCAAACATAGAAAGGACTGCTGTGACAGTGAGGAATTAATGGACAAAGGTGAGAGAGGAGGCTGGGGTGGGGTGGAGGAACCCATACAGTAGAATACTATATAGCAATGTAAAAGAGGACCCACAGCACCCAGCAACCATACAGATGACTGTCACACATTAAGCTGAGCAAATGAACCATACCCAAAATAAAACATACATTGCATGATGCTCTTTATAGAAAGTTAAAAACAGGGACTATTAGGCCATAGTGATTAGGGAGGTGTACGGAGGTGTTGATAGTATAAAGAAATAAAGCAAATGGGACTTCTCTGATGGTCCGTGGCTGACTGAGCTCCCAGTGCAGAGGCTTGGGTTTGATCCCTGGTTAGGGAACTAGATCCCATGTGCGGCCAACTAAAAATCCTCATCCTCCAGAAAATCCCCTCTCCATCCCTAGGTTTCTTTCCCACCCTGTATCCTTAGCTAAGGATGCCACATGCCACAACTAAGACCCAGCGCAGCCAAATAAATACTTAAAAAGAAGCAGCAGCAGCAGAGTATAAGACATGAGCGGGTCCAGGGGTCACGTCTAGGAGATGAGCAGCACCAGGGGCTTGGGGTGCTGGTGATGTTTCATTTCTAGACTTGAGTGCTGGTTTCATGGATGTTTACTTTAAGATAATTTGGTTGTGTTTAATTTTTCTGTTCAGCACAATTGTTTCCATAGGGGTTGTATTTCACAATTTAAAAGGCTTTTGATAAAAGGTGAGGTTCACTAGCTTCCCAATCTGCAGAGGGAGCCTCTAGGCGTGACCTCAAGGAAATGGCCCCTGGTGACCTTGGCCAGCGCTCTGAGTGCCGGGAGGAGGGTGTGCAGGAGGAGGACAGAGGATGAGAAAGGACAGAGGTAGCTGGGGATACAGGGTGGGAGAGAGACCTGGAGATGGAGAGGGGGTTTTCTGGAGGATGAGGAGACATGCAGGGAGAGGTGTTTGGGGTCATGGATTAGAGCAGAAGGATTGAGGGCATTGGCGGGGGCTTCACGCTCCAAGGGGAAGGAAAAATCCTGGGGTGTCTGGATCAAAGGTGGCATGGGTGACAGGGCTCTGCAGGGGGTGGAGTGGGTGCAGAGGGTGGGTGGGGAGGCCCAGCCAGGGGGGTGGGTTTGCAGGGCTGGGCATGCACCCTTCCAACTTTGCCCTTCCCTGGGGAACCACCCAACATCTGGGTCTCCAGGCCTCAGGGATCCCTGACTGGCTGACTGGCAGGCTACCTGCAGTGTGGTTTGCCTTTGAAGCCAGCAGAGGGCACTCGCCTTCCACAGATGCTTTGGCTTCAGCCTGCAGTGGGAACAAGGATGGCCTGAGTGGGCCCCATGCTCTTGGGGAACATGTCTAGGGGTGCTGTCCTGCTGCCCAGCCCCAAGCACACGTGTTCCTCCTCCAGGTAGTCCAGCCTACCATCTCACACCTCCTGCCCCAGAACTCTTATCTAGGAGATTCTGCTGAGAACTAACCATGGAGGCCAGAGAGGTACAGTAATTTACCTGAAGTCACACAGCAAATCCTGATCCTCCGCTGGGACTTCTGTCCTGAGCCAGCCCCAGGGAAAATGATGGGGTTAAGTAGGGAGAGATGGGACTTGGGACAAGAGCCATTTCCAAGCACTGAACTGGCCCTGACGGAAGTGACACATACACAGCTGACCATCATGCCAAAGCAAGAGTTGAGAGGGACTTGGATGCAGTTAAAAAGTGTGCGCCACCCCCTCACGCACACACCCCAAAGCCTAAATCTTTACAAGTCCTCTATCCACCCAGGAAGATACACAAAGCCCAGGCTGACCTGTAAGGGTCACGGAGCCTCATGACAGCAATTCCCCTTTGTTGAACATCTGTCACTGGCCAGGCCCCGTATATACTTTTTCTCTGACCTGAGCAATGAGTCTGTGAGGGAGGTATTTGCAGACCCAATTTGCTGAGCAGGAAGCTGAGGTCCAGAGCAGGAGGAGCTGACTGATGTGTTCACGGTTGCCCCACTCGCAGAGGAGGAGCGGCAGTTCTACCTGGGGCGCTCTGGGCATTGTTGAGGGAGGCTGCTATGGAGCCCAGGAAGCCAAGCCTGGGGTGGGGTTACTGAGCTGCTGTCTCCAAGGGGACAGGATAAGTTGCCACCCTGCCCTTGACCTTCTCCATTCTCCAAAGACTGGGGCTATCTCCTAGGCAATGTGTCTGCCTGGAGGTGGGTGTGTGAACATTCATTTCAAGCAAGGTGTTTTTGGAGCCCTTAGAAGCTGCTTTTTTGAGTCAGAGACAGAAAGATTCCTGCCCACACACCCCCTTACCCTGGTCTGGCCAGGCCTTGGTGTTTCTGGATTCCTACACAAGCAAGGAGGGCCCATTTCTATTCCCTCATAATCCCTCTGCTTTTGTGTGTGTGTGTGTGTGTGTGTTCAGTCATGTCTGACTCTTCATGACCCCATGGACTGTAGCTTGCCAGGTTCCTCTGCCCATGGGATTCTCCAGGTCAGAATACTGGAGTGGGTTGCCATTTCCTCCTCCAGTGGACCTCCCCAACCCAGGGATCAAACCCACGTCTCTCGCAGCTCTTGTATTGGCAGGCAGATTTTTACCAGTAGGGCCACTTGGGAAGCCTGTGGCCCCTGAGAAACCAGCTAAGAATGTAGGTATATCCACCTCCCCTCAGGGATTCCACCTGCCCAGAAGGGCACAAGGATGGGGCAGCCTCTTCCACTGCTCCTGGCTGACTGGTCTGATCTCTGGAGCCTCCTGCAGGCAGGCCTCATGGTTCTCCGCTTCTCTTACATTTGGTCTTTCTTTGTGCTGCCTCAGTACACAGCCTACCTCTCTGATCAATGAAAGAGGGCTAAAAAGGCTGTGCTCCTCCTCTTATCGAATCTAATCTCCTTCCCCGTGTAACTGGATGAGCCTCAGAGACTTTGCAGAATGCCACATTGCAAGGTTCTGGGACTTCTCAGGCCAGGTCATCAGAATCTTCATAGCTTCCACCCTTCCTCCTGGAGGCCTTGCTGTTCCCCCAGAGAAGAACGACCACTACCCTGAGGTGGTCACGCTGTGAGGAAGCCCAAACTAAGTGTGTGGGAGAGAGATGCCTGCCTGGTCCCAGCCTCCCTGGGCTGGGAAGTCATGGCGGCTGGGAACACACATATCATGGATTGAAACCAGGCCTCCCTGTTGTGCCACGGCCTAGCTCCTGACCCACAAAACTGAGAATGATAAAAGAAGACATTACTGCTTTAAATTTGGGATGCTTATTATGCAGCACCAGGTAACTGGAACCTTCTCTCTGGCCTCTGGAGCTCTCCAATGGCTCCACATGCCTGCATAACAAACTTCCAACTCAATTTCACGGCCGTCTGTCAGAGCACAACTATATCACCTGGCCACTAAGCTCACAGGCCAGTCTTCCTGGGCTCCTCCCTATCTCTGAAATCTTACTGCTTCTATCTAGAAGCCATCCTTGACCTCCACCCCCACTCTAGCTTGGCACTCCTTATCCCACCAGCCTCCACTTAGCTCCTTGAAAGTGTTAGTTGTTTGGTTGTGTCCAACTCTTTGTGACCCCACAGTCTGTTCATGGGATTTTCCAGGCAAGAATACTGGAGTGAGTTGCCATTCCCTTCTCCAGGGGATCTTCCCAACCCAGGGATCGAACCTGGGTCTCCTGCACTGTAGGCAGACTCTTTACAGTGTGAACTACCAAGGAAGCCCTTAGCTCGTGAAAGATCCTGACTTATGGAAGGACCTCTCCTCCTCTCCACAACCTCTGGTTGCCATTCTGAGTTGGGGATGTAGGGTCAGAAAGACCAACCCCCTCCCCCTGCCGACACACACACACCCCAGACTGGTGGCCAAGGACCCTGCCAGATCTGTCCTCATTTGATGGGCAGAGCTCCTATAGGTCCCCTCAGGATGTCTGAGAGGTCACTCTTGGCTAATCTGTAGCTTTAAGGAGAATTAACCACATTTCTTTAAAATGGAAACACTCAGTTTGTACAAATTTCTGTAGATCCTGAGATCAGAAGTCTGAGCAAGAGCTCAGTTCAGGGGAGCTATCTCAGGGAGGCGTGGGAGAGGACAGAGGTTGTGCCTGACCACAGCAGTCAACAGCAATTCCAAGATGCTGGACCTGACCTGTGTGATTATTTATAGTGTTTTTGTGGTCTTAAACTTTTGCACATGAATCAAAAGTTTTTTCTACCATAAGCATAAGCCTATGCAGAACTTCAAAATTAATCCAATTGTTGGGTTTATGATCAATTACATATGACCAGTACTTCTTGGTGGATTTCTCCTCTCTGAGGCTCTAATTGGATAGCCCTTAGGAAATTTATTCTAGAAGAAAGAAGTTGTAGTTCTGTCTGAGTCACTATTGATCTTACTAGATGGAACCCACTTGGCTAATCAATCATACTGACTCTAAGCAAGATCTTTAAATTTACTCAGGCTCAATTAGAGAAATGACCTAAATTTCAACCAAAGAATACAACTTCTCGATTATTAGGAGGGACCCCCCTCAGTTATGGGATGGGTTTATACAGCTTACATCAGGCTATTATGGCTTAAATGGAAGGTACCCCTCTCCCCTTATGTCAGGGACAGTTAAGTCATACTAAGGATAATCAGCCTAATAACACTAGGAAATTGGGGCTGGGTGCCTTACAAACAGGGCCAATACATCATTGCCCTTAAAGATAGCGATGGATACTAAACAGATTGGGTCAGCTGACCAGAGATGTACTGGGCAGCATCTAATGGAAGTTCTTGGCTTAAATTCTTACTTATGACCTTATAAAGCCTACTAGTTATATTGGAGGAGGAAATGGCAACCTACTCAAGTATTCTTGCCTGAAGAATTCCACGGACAGAGGAGCCTGGTAGGCTACAGTCC